GGGGCCGCGGCTGTCCCGGGAGGCTGTCGGGATCGCCCACGGTGTGTGTGGGCGTGCCCAGGAGGCGGCACGTATGGTACGCCACCCCACACACACACCGCCTCTCTCTCTCTCTCTCTCTCTCTCTCTCTCTCTCTCTCTCTCTCTGTGGCCTGCAGGAGAAGATGAAGGGGAAGAACAAGCTGGTCCCCCGCCTGCTGGGCATCACCAAGGAGTGCGTCATGCGTGTGGACGAGAAGACCAAGGAGGTCATCCAGGAGTGGAACCTCACCAACATCAAGCGCTGGGCTGCCTCCCCCAAAAGCTTCACTCTGGTAAGGGGCCCCCCCTCCCCGGCCCGGGTCTCTGCCGCGAGTCCTGGCGGCCAGGTCCTCTCCCTCCCGGTGCTGTGGTGGTCCCTCCGGTCTCCCGCTTGTCCTCAGCCTGCTCTTGTGGGAGGGGAGGGGGCCAGCTGAGGAAGTGACCTGGGAGGGGAGCAGGCCAGCGGCTGCCCTGGTGTCGCCACGGAGGGGGCGTTCCCACGGAGGGCGTTGGTGCGGCATCTGTGACCTCTGCTTTGCTGCTGCAGGACTTTGGCGACTACCAGGACGGCTACTACTCCGTGCAGACGACGGAAGGGGAGCAGATAGCCCAGCTCATTGCCGGCTACATCGACATCATCCTGAAGAAGGTGAGGAGGCCCTGGAGGGGCAGGGGGCCAGTCCCCTCGGGGGGCCCCGGAGGACTGTTGCAGCCGCCGCCTGCTGTGGGGCACGTGGGGGCAAAGCCCAGCCAGGCTGGCAGGCAGAAAGGGGATGGTGGGGCTGCCTAGAGGGGCCTCGTTGGCACAAAGCACACTGGGCTGGCTGGACTTGGCGTCTGCCGCAGCAAGGCCATTTCTGTCTGGCTCGCACAGCGATGCTGCTCCAGCCCCTCCACGAACCGGGGCTGGTGAGGGGCTGTGTCAGCCTCGCAGGGCCTGGAGGTGGTCTCTAGTCCTGGTGAGCCGGCTGGCCGAGATCAGGAGGCAGGGAGGGTAGGTGGGCTTTGTCCCACCTCGGCCAGCGGGGAAACTGGCTCAGTGGTTGGGGCGTGGCTCAGAGGCTTGTCATATAAAAGGGCCCAGGTTCAAGTCCCGGCGTCTCCAGCTAGTAGTGTCAGGCCGTTGGTGGAGGGAGAGGTCTCCAGTACCGGAACCCTGGACAGATGGACTCTGGGGGGTGGGGGGGAGGAGGGAGTTCTGATTGAGGAGAAGGCTGCTTCCTGTGTGAGTGACTGACTGGCTGACTGTGCCTTCTGGTCTGGCCCTCAGAAAAAGAGCAAGGACCACTTTGGGCTGGAGGGAGATGAGGAATCCACCATGCTCGAGGACTCTGTCTCTCCCAAAAAGTAAGGCGGGGTGGTGGTGGTGGGGTGGCGGCAGGGCGTCTTGGGCATGCCAACTATTCCAGTGTGGCCTGAAGTGGGGGGAGTCCGTGGCATGCTGCAGGCACTCCTGGAGGGGAGGGGGGCAGGGCGGTCAGTCTGTGGCTTCTCTCGCCCGGCAGGTCCACGGTGCTGCAGCAGCAGTTCAACCAGGTGAACAAGGTGGAGCACGGCTCAGTGGCCCTTCCGGCCATCATACGTCCGGGTGCGGGAGGGCCGGAGAACTTCCAGATGGGCACCATGCCCCAGGCCCAGCAGCAGGTGACCAGTGGCCAGATGCACCGCGGGCACATGCCCCCTCTGGTAAGGGATCTGCGCTTCCACCGGGGCGGGGCTGTCGTCTTCCTCCTTCCCTCCCTCCCTCCCTCCCTCCCTCCCTCCCTC